CCATTCCTCCTTCCTACCCCTTCCATCCCTCCATACTTTTGTTCCATCATTGCATGTGTCCTTTTTTGTTGATTTTTTTGAGAATTTCATAAGTGCGTGCAACGTATTTTTGTAATACTCTCCATTCCAAGCCCTAACTCCAACCAGAGCCACTCCACCCTCAACTTCATGTCCTCTTTTTTGTTTTTAATCCCATTGAATCCAATTTGTGCTTCCCATATCCACATGGGTGTGGGGCTGTCCACTGGTACACGTTTCACCTAACAGTCCAGCCTTTCCCTCCTTCTATCCATTTTACTTCCATTCCCCCTCCTTCCATCCTTCTCTTCCTTCCTTCCCCCTCCCTTCTAGTCATCCTTCTTCCATTTAACTGGCTTTCCATCTGTCTTCTCTATTCCTTCCTTCTCTTCATTCTTTCCCTTATCCCCAGTCTGTCTCTCTCTCTTCTTCACTTATGTGTGACGATGTGGCCAATACATAACTCATAACGCTAGATTAGGCCTTCTGTGCACTCCACTCTCACTCTTGCTGAAGCAGAGCCCTGCTTGCCCCTTTTCTAGATGGACTGCTAAGGACCAGGGCCAACCTTGATCTTCTTATTACCTTGGTGGGCTGGGGGGTTCAATGTCAGTGCATGTGATGTAACCAAAGCCCCTCCTTCCTCTGCAGATTCTCTGAATGTCCTTCTGATTATTGTCGCCCCTCCCTGGGCTGTTGAACAGATAACCTAGTGAGGTCTCCAAACATTGACCAGCTGGCATCCCATAGCGTTCTCTTTCAGAATGCCTTTGCACAGGTATTTCTGGGGACCTTTAGTTATGGTTCTGTGCCTCTTTTTGTATGCACAGAGGGAGTTGCATATTGCTGCCCTAGAGATGACCTCCTTGAAAGAGAGAAGCAGAGCTTGGAAAATGGAGGCCTAGACAAGCCTGTTCCCCACTCACAAGGAAGCTTGTGCCTACAAGGCTCCCCTCCTCCTTGGGTGGAGACTATCCCCTGCCCTGACATGCTTAAGACAGGCTTGGCCAGCTTTCAGTCAGAAACAGGAACTGCCTGGAGCTGAAAAATCCAACCTGTGGCTCTGCCAACTGAGTTGAGAGTGAGTAAGAGTTGTCCTCCTTGAGCCCATTTTCAGGGCTGCCCTCCAAGAGCATCAGCCTTTCTGGGTACCTGGGGGTACCATTGCATAGGAAAACACACACCTACACACACATACACACACACACACACACACACACACACACACACACACACACACACCACCACCTATCT